TGAAAGGAGTCACGCAAAACTCCCTTGAGTTACATTGGCATTTGACACAATTAGCGCATGACGCTTCAAAAATCATATACCGCCCAAATATTTAGTATCCACTTAGTATGGGTGGGGCTACAGGTATTTGACGCACGCTGTAAGTGCTTAGCCTCTCAATTTGTGCCAGTGAGCAGGCCCAATACTACGTATAGAAGATGATGAGAAGGGGCTACGAAGACGCGCCCCATCTTGAGAGTGCGACGTGAACTTAATTACTTGCTTTTTAGATGCGGAGAAGCTTATGGCGGAGTTCAGTACGGTGTGTGGCGTGGCACCCTTACTGCGAACGCGAAAAGCGGCCCCAAGTGCTGCCAGAACACACTCACGCGCTAGTGCATTCTAGCATGTGTGAGGGGTTCACTAAGGCGTTCTAAGCTCTTTCCCTAACACCCTTTCAGAAATTACGTAACGGCGTCGGGAAGGAGATTCTGCAGACACGCGAATAACCCACGTGTTCCACGTGGCATGGCGATGAAACCGCGTGGCGTGTTCCAATAAGAGCTCGGGATGAGTAACGGCAACAGAAACTACAGTGAATTCATTATGTGCTCCACTTGCTAGGATGTGGTAAAATTAGACAAGGCACCCACGCTGAAGGAAACTTTAGGTCAATTCTTGCGCTGCTCGGCATTCTACAAATGGTTCCCTTCAGGCGTATTCCTTACCACAAAGTTATTCTTTGCCGTGGTCCACTTTGGCTCTGCTGAAGTGTTTACATCACGGATATGACATTAGTAAATGTTCCGCGGAGTAAATGTTCCGCAGGCAGTCGTCAAACCTGCGAACTCTCGCTCCGCAGTTCGCTGCACAAGAACAGTATGCCACGAAGCTAGTACACAGATAGTTATGTACATCATATACCATTGGCAGTCCTTCAAGCGCAACAGGCTCAGTGCGCTTTCAGTTCATCGCTATCATCACTGTGTGAAGAAGATGTGCCTGCAGCGAGCAGCATCGCCAACGCCCGGCTCTCTCGGCTCGTGCTTCGATTCGTTGCTGTGCCGATCGCTGGACGGTTGTTCACGCTGTCTCGTCGCTGTCTTAAACGACTCATAAACCTCCTCACATTTGGTGGAGGTGCTGTTAATCCCCGTCGCTACACCCTGGAGCTGCGAAGCCGCACGCTACCACCTGTCATGACTGCCAACGCCACTACATCGACGCCTCCGCTCCAGTTCAACTGCCCTGGCCATCCTACGCTACGGGAGCCGAAGGTCTTCAGCGGTGCAGATGGGACCGACGTCGAAGACTGGCTCGAGCACTACGAACTGGTGAGCGCCAACAATAAATGGGATGAAGCCGACAAGCTGGGCCACGTGATATTTTATCTCACTGGCGTCGCCGAATTGTGGTTTAATAACCACAAACACAACATCCCCACATGGAGCGTCTTCAAGACGTCATGTGCTGAAGTGTTCGGTCGGCCGGCTGTCCGCAAGCAGAGGGCAGAACAGCGCCTGCGCGTCCGTTCTCAGCAGACTAGCGAGACCTTTACCAGCTATATTGAGGACGTCGTCGACCTTTGTCGACGTGTGAATGACACCATGCCCGAATCTGACAAGGTGAAAAACATCATGAAGGGCATCGACGACGGCGCATTTCAAATGCTCTTGGCAAGGAATCCAAGCTCAGTTTCTGAAGTCGTCAGCTTGTGTCAGAGCTACGACGAGTTGAAAAAGCAACGCACTCTGACTAGGCAGCCTAAGCCTGGTGGTGAGTCGCTGTCCAGTTTCGACTCCATGCCGGACAATTCACCATTGCTCCAGCAAGTCCGAGCCTTCGTCCGTGAGGAAGTCGCCCGCCAACTTTCCCTAGTGCCCTTTACTCACGAGACCACCACCCGTCTACCTGCCCCGCTTCGCACTGCTATATCGGAAGAGGTTGCACAAGCTGTTCCTCTTGCGCACTACGAGCCACCTCTATCTAGCCGTGGTCCCTGCCCGGGTGGCGCACAGCCGGTAGGCGCTCCTGTCGCCTATCCACCAGCCGTTCAGCCTGTGGCCGCGCCCCTAACGTATGCAGCGCAGCCTGTGGCTCCTCCTGTCGCCTTTTCGCAAGAGATGCAGCCCGTAGCCGCGCCACTCACATATGCAGACGCTGTACGTAGGCTCCCGCAACCACCCTACACCACGCGCTCACAGCCCGCACACCCGGCTGCTTATACTGCACCTTGGGCGGCAGCACCAGTCGCCAATCCCTGGAGGACGCCCGATAACCGACCGATTTGCTACGCTTGCTTCACTCCCGGACACGTTGCTCGCTACTGCCGCCGTCGACCTCAGACGTTCGGTAACTATGCCCGGTCGTCACATCCCGGCAGCCAACCCTTTGTCCAATACGGGCCCGTCTCGCCACCTCGCTATGCGCCTACTGACCACCTTGACTTCCAGCCGCAACGCGCACCCTCTCCTCGTCGGCGATCGTCGGCAATGCGTGTGCGCATCCACAGGGACTATTCGCTCGTGTGCTTGCATATCTCGCCATTTCGGCGCTCTGTACCTTTTGTGATTCTACCGCATGTTTGCTTTGAAGTTATAGTGGTTAAATGGTGAGCGTTTACGAAAGCAGTGCACTGCTCGCAAAAGGACCAAACATTGTTACTGTAACGCGCATTCATCCTGTATTTACTTATAAGCCCGTTATGTGCGTACGCCTTTCTGCTTGAGCAGCGCGCTTTAAGTGTCGAGCTATGACAGGTATCCCGCGCTTGTCCGGTATCTGCTCATTTCGCGCGTGCTTGCTGCTTCTGGTGCACGCTGCAAGTTTCGAGTTGCTTATCATTATTTGGTGTGACATTATAGTTCTCTGATGTGGCCTTCGTTGCTTCAGCCTTGTGCTGCAACCATGAAAAATAAACGCTCAATTGTCTGAGTGAACACACATTCATTTTTCGCGTTACACAAACTCCCAGACAGAGAAAACAGCCACGTTTTTTTTTGCAATGCGTGACTTGCTTTTACTGTGACTGTGAGTGTGCGCGTGGGTGGGAGGTGAAATCTCGCGGTGGCCACGTCAATACGCAGCAAATCAGTCAACCGCCTTCGACGTGGTCATATAACAGAGAAATGTTTGTGTATGGATAGGATGGATGCAAAACTTTGAAAATCAATTGTAAATTCTATTCTTCGTGCCATGCACTTTGTCTTACTTTGCTGAGAGCCTCCATTATCGAGAAACATCATTTTCTTAAGGCTTTGAAAAAGTGTTGCAAGGCGCCTATATATAATGCTTTTACGTAAAAGCTCGGGACGCCTGTTCTTGTTTAGCGCTTGATATTGGCCTTCAATAAACTGTAACACACGCCATTTTACCACGAGTTTTAAACGGAACGTGTAACCCATCACCTGTAAAAAATATTTCCTGACGTGCATTATAGGCAAGCCTCGTTATTCACGTCATGAAGCGTAAATCGTGTCCGGTATACACTATTGCTTTGATATACAATATTTAGTGCAAGTTACATTGATTGATATGTGGGGTTTACCGTCCCAAAACCACGATATGATAATGAGAGACGCTGTAGTGGAGGGCTGCGGACATTTCGACCACCTGGGGTTCTTTAACGTGCACACAAATCTGAGCACATGGGCCTAGAACATTTTTGCCTCCATCGGAAATGCAGCCACTGCAGCTGGGATTTGAACCCGCGACCTGCGGGTCAGCAGCCGAGTACCTTAGCCACTAGACCACCACGGCGGGGCTTAGTGCAAGTTAGGAAAACGACGACAAGAACTATGACGGCATGCGCACCTTCTTCCCTTCGAACTGCTTGGTATTAGAAAATTGTGCCAGTTGAAAAATGTGACAGCAAAATGGTAAACTGAAAGGGCAAATGTGGCTTTCCCTTTTTCTTCGTAGGAAAACGGCAATTGGTTTTTAAGGCACAAGCCTTGAATCTAACGTTCATCTGTCCCTCTGCCCATGCCCCAGAACGGTGCCGGCTGTGGCCTCGCCCCCTCGCTTTCTCTCTCTGCATTGATGTGGTAGCTGAGGGGGTGTAAAGAAGACAAAGCAAAAAGACAAAAACAAAAAAGGCATAGCATCATGAGTGCAGTGAACGGAGGCTTTTGACGAGCACACTTTGACATGTATTGAAATGTATGAAGTGTATTTCAATCTTTTTTATGGCGTCTTTCCGGATTTGTGCCAGGTGCCGTAACTAGTTGAAGTACAAGAAGCAATTTCCTGCTTATTCATCATATGGTTGTTGTATCAGATCAGAACAGGTTTCGCATGCAGCATGAAATTTACGCTATTGCCGTATTTAGTAAATGTTTTTGGTGAATAGGATTAAGGCCGTCAGCGGCAGAGCAGTTTTAAGGTAATGACAAGGCACGCTGCTATATTATGTAATGCAAATAAATGCCTAATTTACGTTACTTAGTGTATTTATGAGTCACTGTATCCATCGTTTTACTGAATGTTTTTTTTAAACGCAGGTAACAAAGCTCAAGGGCGAAGCTCTGTTGAGAAACGATGTCGGTGACGTACGATGCAAACACACCTTGGCCTCTTCCTGTATTGGCAAAGTATCTCGAAGTACGTGATTCTAAAGGTTATCATGAAATATACCAGGTGAGTGGCCGGAAATATTGAATGCCAGTTTGCACGGCAGTGTATATGCAGTGTCCAATGAGCATGCTAGCGCATTTACTAAAGAAATAAAAAGAGACAGTATTATCACGACAAGAAATGCAGTGACCATTGTATACATAAAGCTATCTATAGCCACCGCAGCACCAAACAAATCGTTTTGTAGTTTCAATTAGACTATGTGTGGTATTCTGTGTTAATTTCCTAGACAAGGTTGCGGGTGTTTGCAAAGCACATGTGAGTGCCAATTTCCAGCGGCCTCAAACTTTATTAGGAACAGAATGCATGACTAACATTTCAACTACGTAAACTTACATTCACCAACATTACGTAACGTTTACGTCATCAACTCGCTTTCACTGCAGAATGGGTTCCGTCAACGTAAATCTTTTGAAGTTTCCTTGAGTGATATGGGATCAATACCAAATGATTGGATTTGCCGTGTATTTATGTTAAGGACTGACATGGAAAGGTGAGTACGAAGAATTTCGGGTCATAATAAACACCTAATGAACGATCGCAAAGGTCCTAGTGTAATATTCGTGGGAGACCAAATACACGAACGTTGAACTACAAAACATCGCTTATTTCTTTTACCCTAGGAAAGCCGCTTTTCCCGACGTAAAAGTAACGAATAGAGGCAATTCGTGTAGTGAGACTGCTCAAAATATATGTGATACTTGTCGCCACAGACTCCCAGTGCACTAATAAATTCTGCTTCCATTAGAAGTGTAATTAGAGAAGACAATAAGAAAATGTGGTCAATATGAATATAGAAAGCATTAAAACACATCGACACTTCAATCACAGCCAATAGTATTTCAACGTGGTCTTGGCAGCCGTGCTTCAAGTTTGCTAAACTGCTGATTTATGTAACTTCAGGCGACTTTACACGAGCCCTAGTTAAACGCGTGCTGGTTTCTTTCTGTAAGCTAGTCTGTCAACCAATGATAACTTCGAGGATTGCCAGAAGGCCAGCAGGCCTTCGTCGAAAGCATACGCATCCTGACAGACATCGCAGTCAGTGACCAACCAAAATTGCCTCCCTGTTCAGGAGTCGGTGTGCCTATGATCACCTAAAGCGTTGACTAAATCCAGCACGCCTTCATCGAACGCCTGTGCATCCGCATCCACGTAGACGCCGTGCTGATTGAGCAACCAAGATTACGTCACCGTTACTAAGGTCATCGTGGGGGTTGCATCACAGTTGCTTATATAAAAAACCACGCAACTGGCTTTTGCAGTTAAGAGCGATCTTGGCAGCGTATTTGACGTCTGCTAAACCGTAGATCTACGTCATTTCAGGCAACTTTAGATGAGTCGTAGATGAACGAGTGCTTGTTTTTGCCTGGACGATACTCCTTGATCGGCAGATTATTTCTAGTCTTGGTAGGAGCCAGCAGGCCTTCATCGGACGCATGTACATCCTGACGGACGCCGTACTCAACGACCAACCAAGGTTACGTGCCCGCTCTAAAGTTCTTCGGGGGGCGGCATCACAGTCACCTACATAATAAACCATGCAGCTGGCTTTGGTACTTCAGAGCAGTCCTGGCAGCCCTACTTCAGGTCTTCTTACAGTTGATATCCCTCATTTCAGGTAGGGATTTACCTAATTACCTACACTGGTTACCGATTTAAAAAAACATTTTACCTGTAGGACTGCTCCTTAAAAAGATCATTTGAATTTGATCAATGTCTGTGTCTGTGTAATTATGTAATGTAAGAAAACTACTTTATCTGACTTTGCGGTGTCCCTAACTCACAAACCAACTGGCAGCATGAAGGAAGCCACACAAGTCTTTATGCAAATGATTACGGAGTTTGTGAGGCTGTGTACGATTGTGCTGGTAATTTAAGGAATCAGGACCCGTGCATCGATGCTGGGAGGCCAAAGTGATAGCTGTCGCAAAGTCAATGGCGCATAGTACTGGGCGTTTTGAAGACTTGAGAAAGGAAAAGAAAACCATGGGCTCCGAACTTTGAGAGGCAAGCACAGGCAGCCTGGAATGCTAATTAGAGAACTTCTGGTCAGATCAGAAACTCAAAAAAACTAAAAAGCAACTATTACAGTTGAAATGGTACAGTTGAAAAGAATATAACGAAGTGAAGGGAATTCATCTGGTACTAAATGCAAATTTATGTCTGTGAATTAAAAGATATGGTCACTAGGCGTAAGCCTTTATGAAAACTCAGTTGACCCCGTTCATCATGTACCAACGCGCCAAAGTAACCCTCCAAAGGTGGTGGTGGTGAAGTTGTGTTTATATAAAAATGACAGCATACAAAAAGTCACAGCATGCTCACGGAGTGAATGATGATGAGTGGGGCGAGGCGTTCGTACGTCCGTCCGTTCGTCTATCCCTCCGTTCGTTCATACTTCTGTACATCTGTGCTTCTGTCCGTCCGTCCATCCTTTGTTCTGTCCGTTCGTTCATGCTTCCGTCCGTATGTCCGTCCATGCTTCCGTTATTACGTGCATGCTTCCACCTGTCTGTCCGCCTGCGTGTCCGTCCGTCCATGCGCCTTTCTGTTTATTTTCGATCCGTCTGGCTGTTTGTCCGTCTGTCTGTCTGGCCGCCCATTCGTCTCTATGTGTCTATCTGTCTGTCTGCCTGTATGTCTGTCTGTCTATCGTTTGTCCCTGTCTCTCTGTCTGTTAAACCATTTGTCTGTAGGTCTGTCTGTCAGTCCACCCGTCCGTGTCTGCCTGTCTGTTCATCCATACGTCAATCCGTACGTCAACAATACGAAATCATGAACTATACGAAAACCACTAACGCAAATACTGATTATAATTCCAAGGACATAAACACCCAACGCCATCTAATGACTAATTCATAAACTAGAGGTGACTACATACCACTACTACTACTACTACTACTACTACTACTACTACAAAAGAGGGAACGACCCACAGCCTGAGGATCTTCCGTCCCTTAAAGCACAGGTTGATTATGTCTAAATCTATTTCACTCTGAGAGCTGTTGCGTTTTATTGTGCAGCAACTTCAGCATCTCGTTTTGGTGCTAATGGCTAATAGGAATCCATGATGGTTTCCACGTGAAATTCACCAGAAGGCATTGTACAATGGAACTGCCATCGTTTCGCCGGAAAAATAGGAGAGCAACGCCAGCATCTCAATTGTGGGAAGCTGCGTGCTTGAGCTATACTTTTTCAAGCATATAATGGCCTGCCAAACATATCTCAGGCAGCACACCGGCGTTCGACCAATGTTGGACCCATGTCGGCAAGCGTACTTGACAACCGTATGCTGAAGAAGGCGCAAAAGAAAGGGGAGACGCCCATTTAGCCTGCTACGCCACTCATTGGCGGCGGCTACCACGAACGTCATTTCTGCGTTCAGTTAGAATTTTTGCTGTTTCTTGCGGTTGCCGTGCCAGCATTCAAGGCCGCCGTGGACTCACTGGTAGCGCCGGTACTGAGAGCAGCTGCGTGTGTGGTGTGGTTTGTGAATCAGATTGCTTTTCGGTTGTTTCCAAACTACTGAAACCTTAAGTAAACAGTCTCAGACAAACTGCGTCGGGGGTGTACTGAGAGCTGCTGCGTGGTGTAGTGTGTTTTGTGAATCAGATTCTTTTTGGATTGTTGCCGAACTACTGAAACCATAAGTAAACAGACTCGGGAAAATCGCGTAGACAGACTGCACAGAAGACGCATTTGGTTGCTGCAGCGTCGGCAGCGTCAGGACTCGCTTTTTCCCGCTGATCCCGCAGCATGTTCGTCAGGGCTGTTGAACGCATGTCAAGTTTAATCCGGTCAGCTTATTACGTTGTTGCAATTACAGCCGTACGTCATCGTTCATGTTTTGAGCAGTTTCGAGGCAACCGATGGTCCTGCCTACACAATCAATGCATAGCGTTAGTAATTGTGAGTTTAAACTATCAAGTGCTCATAATAAGCCCCAGTTGGTTTTTTACCTGCAGCGAGAGCAGCACAAAAACGTGAAACACTTGTTCAATCACTGAGTATGTCCTCTTTTAATATGAACTGCCTAGTTACTTTATATTGCAGTGTCGGTTCGTGATCCCTGGTGCAGTTTTGCGCACTTTGTGCAGCCGTCATTCTCCAAAATACTGCAAATGCATAACCTAAAGGTGACCGTGGGTAATATTTGAAGCGAAATTAGGAAAATATGGGGTAGTTTCAGTGAAAACAAAAAGCAGATTTGACAACATGTGCCTGGCTCCCAACTGTATCACTGTGATGGTACTGAGCAGCTTACTACAATGACGAATAGAAAAAGGGATACATCACAAGCACATGGTGAAAAAAAACTGAATGGCCGTTGAGGGTCACTTTAGTTTTCAATAAATTTCTGCTAGACTATGTTTTTTTAAGCCATATGTTTTATTTGTATTACTTCCGAGGCTTAGAGCATCGTAGGAGGGAGTAGAAAATTCAAAGCATTGATTTATATGATGGGCTTAACGTCCGAAAACCACTATATTTTTATGAGATACGCTTTAGTGGAGGGCTTAGGATATGTCAACCACCTGGGGTTCTTTAACGTGCCCCCAAATGTGAGTACACGGGTATACAACATTTCCGCCTCCATCGGAAATGCAGCCCCGGTAGCCGGGATTGGATCCCGCGACCTGCGGATCAGCAGCTGAGTACTGTAGCCACTAAACCACCACGTTGGGTCAAAAATTTAATGCACCCCGAAAAAGCATTAGTAATTTCTAACTTTACAGTGTTACCTATACAGTAGCCTGCTTCATAGACGATCAGGTGTTTTATTTTAAGCAATCAAGTACTAATGAACAAAGAAAGTAAAGAAAATCCTGTGAACAACGTTATCAGCTTTCTCCTGTCTCAGTTCTTTTTTTACTTTTCATTGCCACCGAATCAATTTATTATTTCTACGCCTTTACATTAAGCCATCGCTATGAGTCACTCTTGCTGCTTTTATGTGCAGGGCTTCAAATAGGCAACATGCATATTCACTATAGGCTCCCAGCAGTTTTTCTGAAATATGAGACCTGCGAATGTGATATTTTTGGAATACAGCTCTTCCATAACTGTTTTATTAAACTTGACATATATTGTCCTAAGCACCTAAGCTGCGCTCAAGTGTAAACAGTGTTTTCAGAAACAGAATGGAGAAAGTTCACCTTAATTAGCGAAGTGAACTGGGCTCATTGGCATGTACAAGAAGAAGTGTTGGATTTGAGCAAGTCGGTATGGATCTGTTTGAAACTCGCAAATACAAGCAAGCACTGGAAACTGCTCAAAACATAAACGGCAGCGTACAGCTGTTAGATGTGGCCGTTAAAAGGAGGAATAAAACTACTACTCTGGGGAAATAAAACTTAGCCAGAGTTGAACACGCCTGACGAAAAATGAGCTCCCCACGCTCGTCTCCTTCTTGTCTCTTTGTCGTTTCTCTGTTCTGGCGCTTTAAGTATTCTCAGGAACCCCGTCGTCACGGCCGTACGCCTCGCTCCA